AAATTGCTTGAATTTTTAGGTGTATGTTCTTCTCATCAAGATGCACCTAATAAACATATATATAAAAAAAATCAGCAAAACAACATTGACCAAAAAACCCCCGAAACTTTACATGGGGTATTTTGATCAATGTTTTTCATGTAAAATATTTTTTTTATATTTTTCAAAGATTCACCTATTTTTTATGTGCACACATTCCAAATTTTATATCATTCCAATTTGTAAAAAAAAATTAAAAATTCGAACACTACATGATTAGCCCACTAGCTCATATGAACATATGAGTCCAATGGCTCAGATTGAATATGGGCTGATTTGACGATCACAGATGTCCGATAGTACTTGAATTTTATTTATTTTTTATAAATTTAAATCACTTGAAATTTTAGATGTGTGTTCTTCTCATCAATGTGCACCTAATAAAAATATATGAAAAAATTATCTGTGAAAAACAAAATGATCAAAATACCTCCCGAAACATTTAGGGAGTATTTTGGTCAATTTATATCATGTAAATATTTTTTTGATATTTTTATAAGATTCACCTATTTTTTATGAATATACGTGTAAACATTCAAGTGATTAGTATTCGTCGAAAAAAACTAAAATTCAAACACTATCAGACATTCGTGATCGTCAGATCGGCCCAGATTCAATCTGGGACGTTGGGCTCGTATGTTCATATGAATTAGTGGGCTAATCTCATATTTTCACACACATACACACACATACATACATACACACACACACATACACTCACACACGTATATATAGATATAGGAAAATCTTCTTGTTAGCCCAAGTGCTAACAGAAAGACATGAGCCCAACGACCCAGATTGAATCTGGGCCGATCTGACGGTCATGACGTTATTTCGTGTTTGAATTTTAATTTTTTTTTCTATAAATCCAAATCATTTGAAATTTTAAGTGTGTATTCTTCTCACCAAGCAGCACCTAATAAAAATATAAAAAAATAATAAGCAAAAAAATGATCAAAATACCCTTGAAACTTTATAGGGGTATTTTGGTCAATATTTTTATGTAAAATATTTTTTTGATATTTTTCGAAGATTTATCTATTTTTGATAAACACACACCTAAAATTTCAAGTGATTTTGATTTGTTGAAAAAGAAAATTAAAATTCAAACACTATCGGGCATCTATGATCATCAGATCGGCTCATATTCAATCTGGGCCGTTCGGCTCATATTTTTCTGTTAGCCCTTGGGCTAACAATAACATTATCCATATCCAGATATATATAGGTTTGTTTAGATTTAACAACCCTTCAAAATACAAAGGTTAAAGTTAGACAGAGTTGTGATGGGTGTATTTATAAAAAAGATCACTACCTTTTGTTTAAAAAAATTATTTTAAGAGGTAATTTAATCATTAAGTCAGGATAAATTTAAAGCATTTTGGAAGTTAGTGTTTTGGGATTTTATTTGTAAAGTGCCATTGTCTTTTAGTAAAAATTTTAACTTTACCTTTTACAGAGATAACAAAATTACCAATTGCCTTGTAATAATATTAACAAAATTGCCCTTAAAACTATAAAATTAGTAAATCCAACATTCACAACTATCTCGGGTTTGAATGGTTCTAAAGTTTAGATTATCCATCCATATATATATATATATATATATATATATAACCTAGACACGAACGAAGTTGGGTATAGATCATTTGGAACCAAATCCAAGTCTAGACCTAGACATATATCGAATCAACTCATCGGGTGATCCAAACAACCCCACCCAATTGCCACCCCAGCCCACACCCATGTTTTCAATAGTTTATCGAAGACAATATGAGTGGAAATCATTGTTTGCAAAATCGCCCGATCTAATCGCTAACCGCCCGGTTAGATCGGAACCGGCCAGTATTTTTGGGCGGTCAGAGTTTTGGGTAGTTAAGGTGATCAATTAGTATTTTTTTTTAAAACAAAACAATATATATAAATTCTCAAAAATAAAGAATTTGATTTGTAATGTATTTTTAAATATTCTTTATATTATGGTAAAGATTAAAAAATGTTTTGGTCATTAATACTAATTTTTTATATTTTTCCATTTTTTTTAGAAAATTTTAAAAATAGTTATTGAAGAATATAAAATAGGTTAAAATCTATTTTTTCCTTTAATTTTCAACTTTATTTGAATGTGTTTTGTTTAATTATTCTTTATATGTTTTTCATAGTTGAGTAGATTTTTTTAAAATTATTTTTAAAATTTTTTTGGCAACATATAACTTACCCAACTAAAACGGTTGAATCCACCGATTAGACCGGTTAAACTGCTGGGGCCAATCTCCGGTTAAATCCGGTTAGATTTTACGAACACAGGTGGAAATACGTCATACAAAATTACCATACTCTCTCCGTTCGGAATGTAAGCAAAATGGATAATATGACACCCTCATTTGACTTATTGTGCCTAGTTTTTCGTCGTAAATTATCGGCGCTTTGTTTCTTCCTTCGAAGGGGCAGGTACAAGGAAGGAATCAAAGCATCACCTCTCTACTATCCTTCAGATCCCCCTCATTTGAGCCTCGTCTCCCGTTTCGTGACCCTAATTTCCAAAACCCTAAACTTTCCGTGGAGAGCTTCTCATCTTAGGAACCCTAATCTCTATGGAGAGATTTGCTGGTTGAGGCAACCCTAATTTCCGGTTACTTGATTTTGTCTCAGATTGGATCCGTTTTCCAGTGGTGGAAAACCCTTATTTCATGGAGGGTTTTTCAGCTTAGGAATTCTAGTTGGTGATTTCGCTTCCTTCAATCCAGATCTGCTCTTTAGTGTCAGAAACCCTAAGTTTCATGGAGGGAGTTGTAGATAAGGAGAAACTCTGTTGATTTACTCGGACACCTGTCCTTCCATTAGATTTGAGTACTTCCATTCTTCTTTCGGGAAATTTGCAGCTTGAATGGAGGGCGGTTCAGCTGAAACAACACAACAGCTGCCTTTTGCCAAGTGGAAAAGTGATTTTTCGAGGGCTTTTCAGTACTATCTTGATAGATCCACTCCTCATCCAGTTGGGAGATGGCTTGGAACCTTAGCAGTTGCAGCGATATATGTGTTGAGGGTTTACTATGTTCAGGGATTTTACATTGTGTCTTATGGACTTGGGATCTATGTTCTGAACCTTTTGATTGGGTTTCTATCTCCTAAGGTTGATCCAGAGCTCGAGGTTATGGATGGTGCCTCTCTTCCCATGAAGGGTTCGGATGAGTTCAAGCCCTTCATTCGCCGACTCCCTGAATTCAAGTTCTGGTATATCTTCTCTCCTCTCTCTTTTTCTGTTTAGGTTTTTTTATTTGCTTTGTATTGTGTTGGTGGTTATGATTTTCTTTGTGTTATGATGCCATTTGTTTTGTTACTCCAATTTTTTATCTCCGTCATTGGGTGATAGGATCTGTGATGTTTAAATTTCAATTGTATCTGTGTTTTCATTTTCATGCTCTTTATGTTTTCGTGATGAAGTTTGTGGAGGTGAATCTAGATCATAGTAGTACATTTCATTACATCTCTCTCTCTATACCTTGGGTAGTATGTTTGATGGTTTGTGAATCTCTTTATGGAAGCTGTTGTGTCAGGGATGGTATATGCTCCTCTGAAATTTTTGTTTTCTTACATAACTTAAATTTTGTAGGATCAGAAAATGCATATACTGTTTCTGGATGCTTTTTTCAATTCGGCATTTTATCACATAAATATTGTTTATCTTAGGTTCCATTAACTGATAATATGTTTCATTACTCATGAAGTGACTCAAAAGCTGGTAGCAGTTATGGGCAGTGAGAGAAAGAGAAAAACCAAAAAAGATTGCAGTTGCACAATGCCCAAAAAACATTTGATACCATATCCAAAGATCCTCTCAATCAGAGCTCATATTGTCAACTATACGAGGCATCATTTGAAATCATTAAGTAGCCATCAAAATATTCAACCTCTCTCCTTGATTCTCTTTGACCTGTATGCTAACTGGTTTATTTATGGTCCCAAGGCCTAGCCTGCAGATTTCTACATACCTTTAAAAGTCTATCCTGGGATTGACACCGTTAAAAGTCTATCCTGTGTCTGATGATTAGAGTCCGAGCTTTTTTCCCTTTAGAAATCAAATTTGAGCTGAATGAACTAAGTTTTGCAGAATGTGAAATAGCCTTAGTCTAAGTTTTGCAGTATTTGAATCGCCTTAGTTTGCTCTTTGAAGCAGACCAAAGCCTTACTGGCTTCATTTTCTCCCTTCTGATTTGAAATGTTTTTGCTGACTTGTTATGAATAACTCAATAGAATAATGCCCTCCGAACTACTTTTGCTCTCCTAGATTACCATGTGAATTTGGATTTGAATCAGTGCAAATGTCCGTGAAACGGCAGCTGACCGTGATTTTGACTCTTCAAAATGTTAGACTTGGAAGAAGTTTGGGTAAGGGAAGAGCTCACTTCCTCTCCGCAAGGGTGTGTAGTAATTTCCAGGACTTTTTATAGATGTGGTTCCTCCTTGTGCTGGGTGCTTGATATTCTATTTATCTTATGAATATCTTTGGGGTTTTGTGGAAGTGGAATGAGTTCAGATGCTCTGTACATGGGGGCTCAGAGGATTTTGTTGCAAGATACTGGATTGCAGCAATAAGGAGAAGAATTCTCTCGTAAGTAGATAGCACAAATGGGATGGGGGGACAAGCATGTAAGCCCTGTAATTAGGTAAAAAATGTTGGCCTTATTGTTAAATGTTTGCATACTCTTTAGCATGTGCATTTGGACTTAGCCTGATGGACTGTTCTATCATTCTATCTATCAGGCCTATCTAGTTATCTATCTATCTATGTATATATCTATCTATCTATCTATCAAGTCTATCTAGTTATATGCATGTTTGTAGGGTTCGACGCTTAGACTCGTTCACTGGTTGTAGGGTAGTTGACAAATATGGATGGACCAGGACCAGTGTTTTAAAATGCGAGATGCGGCTCTGATGTGGTGGGGGGCTGATGCTGCTCGATGCGGGTGCATGGCGATGATGCGGTCAATAAATGTAAAAATGTTTTTAAAAATCTAAAAAATAAGTTAATGCATAGAAAAAAATATGAAGGTGATATATGTGATTGTAGGTATTTTAGTTTAATGATTAACTTCAAAACTATTAGCTGTCGGAGATTTTGTATCCAGTTATCCACCCATATAAGTATTTCCACAGAGCAAGCATATCACACAATTTCTATCTTTGGGATTTTTTAGTTTAGCATATTTCCAAGCCAGATCCTTATTACTAGAAGATCGGGAAGAAGACATTGTCCCAAAAATATGTATAATAGTAATATTGTACAAGAAGGAAAAAAAATTTACCGACTCTGTGAAGCACTGCTCGATTTCTTCACAACCTCTGAAACCCCTGATTTTTTATCACAAATTCACCCTAACACCTCCAAATCAACAATCAAAGGCATCCAATGAACATCCAAGTACCAAACAACTGCTAAATCGAAGATTCCAAAATTTTTTTTTACCTCGATTTGATGCAAAAAAAGCCACAAAAGTGGCTGAAAATCTTCGTTTAGGGCCCCTAATACCCCCCCAAACAGTTTCCCTAACATGTAGATGGTCAAAAAGACCATTTTACCTCTCCCTGAGGGGCAAAACAGAAAAAGTATCGGCTGGCACTGTAGCAGTGGGATGCGGTGCGATGCGGCCTTTGCGGGATGTGGCTACAATTGGACCTGATGCTGTGCATATGCGGCCGCATCTGCCAAAAGCGCATATGCGCCTGTTTTTTATGCGGATGCGAGCGCATCCCGCATGATGCGGCCGCATTTTAAAACACTGACCAGGACAATGGGTGTTACCCTAGGTGTTTGTGTGGAGCAATCGTCTAAGATGTATATCCATGACTTGCAGTGAAGATGTTTATGTAGAATCGAGTGAGATATGGTACTTTTCTCCGGGGTGGGTGTTGAAGCTGAAATTTGATGACAATCTACGTAAGGACTGTTGGGGGATGGAGATTTGTTTAATGTTGATATATGTGATTGTGAGGGCAAGAAATTTTTATTAGAGTGGATTGCAGTTGTAGATGTTATAAGACTGTGAAAGTCATCAGGAGATGCCTAAAATCTAAACTCTCCTATCCTCTAAAAGAATGGTTTTTCCACTTAAATCTGAATTGAGACGGCATGAATTTAGTTGAGAACCCTGTATGTGGTCTATGCCTCCAAATCACCGATTTAGAAAGTTGGTCATGAACCCTGATGGAAAGGAAAATGAGGTACATGACATGACTCCTAATTTTCTGAAGCAGAAGTATTAATATCAATGATGTTGTCACCCTGGACTGGCTTGTTCCATCGCTTGTGTAACATTGAAACTTGGTGCAATTTTTCTTCCTTGCTGAGTCACCTTTATATGTTCAAATTGCATATTTTTTAACAGAATTCCTAGCTGGTCAAAGACATCTTTTGCTACATTTTTAAAACTTCAGAACAGTGATTCTTCCTCGTGGTTTGTAGATCATTGAAGCCTCATTACCTGGCCCTTGATTTCTTGAGAAAAGGTTAACTTTATATGATAATAATAATAATAATAATAATAATAATAATAATAATAATAATAAATAGTAGTAGTAGTAGTAGTAGTAGTAGTAGTAGTAGTATTTGTGTTCATAGTAGTAGTAGTAGTATTTGTGTTCAGAGTAGTAGTAGTTGTATTTGTGTTCAGAGTAGTAGTAGTTGGCATCCCACAAGATTTGTGTTCAGAGTACAAAAAAGATAGGGAGAGCAGATAGTGTCTAGCAAAACATTTCAGAGTAGTAGTAGTTGGCATCCCACAAGATTTGTGTTCAGAGTACAAAAAAGACATTTCAGAGTAGTAGTAGTTGGCATCCCACAAGATTTGTGTTCAGAGTACAAAAAAGATAGGGAGAGCAGATAGTGTCTAGCAAAACAAAAGCAGAAAGCCAAAAGCCAAGAACTGAATTGACAATAAGACAGGGAGGAAGGATGTCTTCTTGTGTTGGAAAATTCTTTTAATGTGATAGAATCGATGAGACTGTTGTCCTCTGACCTTGGAGGATTAAATCTCTTATGGAGGAAATCTTGGAGAGCTCCCAAGAGATCTCATCATAGCATGTGGGAAGCTTATGATTGTCCTCTGACCTTGGAGGATTAAATCTCTTATGGAGGAAATCTTGGAGAGCTCCCAAGAGATCTCATCATAGCATGTGGGAAGCTTAATATGTTGTTTCGGATTGGGTCTCCTGGTTATGTTATGCCTTTGTTACATGTATATTTAGTGGTCATTTGCTATTGTACTGATTTTATTCACTGTGAACGTTAATGTGTTTTTCTTTTACAAACATTTGACATGGCTATGAAAGGGGACATGAAAGGTTGTTGGGACCACAAGAAGGTAAATTCATATTTTTGTTGCCTTCTCACACTGTTGGATCAATCTTTTTATTGGTGCATCTATAGATGCTATAGATGATAAATGGGTGATTAAAGCATTTGGACTTAAAATGTTAGCTTTTTAGAGTCATCTTTGTTCGTGGATAAGGAATACAGGGTGTTCTTTACCTTGTTGAAGAAGGACAAACATGGTGTATTTGATACAAAAAACAAAAATGCTGAAGAGTGACAAGTCAGTTTTTTGCTTTTGGCACTCTTGTTTATAGGTGTGACTGCAAATATTTTTTGTATGTTTACATTATGTTTCAATAACTCCTTGCAGCTCTGTCATATATGCATCTTTTGTAAGAGCATCGATGGGGCTATAGATATGGCTCATTGTGCTTTTGCCAGCTGTCTTAAATTTTATGTTGGTAACTTTTTGGGGGTTACAGACTCACATTGACGTTGGAGTGTTTGTTGTTTCCAAATCTTAAGTCTGCCCTGATGAAATATATTTAATTTGTGCATTTGGCAATCTTATGCATGGGTGTGCAAGGTGATGATAAGTGTGATTAGCTTATACCTGGATAACTCCTTCCAGGTCCATTATATGTGCATCTTATGTTAGAGAGAGAATAAAACTATATGATTTTTATGCTTTTGTTTAGTGGATTGTGGTTGTTTAGTGGATTGTGGTTGTTTGGTATATTTTTGGGGTGACATGCATTTTCCAAAAATAGTTTTGTTTGAGTGCTGTTGTTTCTTATTCTCAAGCTCCTCCCTATCATATATTTCGTTCTATGGAACCTTTTATTTCTTTATGGTCCTTGGAAGAATAATGCCTGAGCATAATTTTTAGTTCTTAGATATAATTGAGAGCTCTTTGTGATCATCAGTGAAGTGTTGAAGGATGTGACAGGCTGTTGTCTTTTCATTTGGGACTTTGGAACTTCCTTGTCCAATGGAAGTGGATGGTGCTATAAAGATTATAGTGGTGGGGTAGATCTATTGATTTGTGGTTTCTTTATGAGATGGGCCAAAAGTCTTTGTTACATGTAATTAGGAACAGATCTTTGGTTTCTTGTTCTTTTCATGGCTAATATAGATTGTGGAGACTTATCCAATGTTATTAGATTGCTAAATTGTGGGGATATAAATTGTTGGAGAATAAACTCCATGTTCAATGGAGTTAATGGTCTCATCATGATTCTATAAGATGGCATAGCTTCTAATAATGTAGCCAGATCATTGCGTATTATATTTTGAGATGATATATGCAATTATGATCACAGAGTTAAGGAAGATAAACATCATGTATGTTATTCTTGCGGAGTAGACATATTATATATGGTTGCTTCACTATATTTTTGTTATAATTTGCACTTGATATGTACATTAGTTCATATTCTTTAATGGTTATTTTTTGATTCGGTAAGCTTGGAGTTAGCGTTCTATGGTGTGAGTGAGACTAGCTGCACCAAACCATTTGGCTATGGGGATTCACCCCGTATTCGAGACTTAGAGGATTCACCTAGCACCCACGGCCCACACAGATCTTGGACTAGCCCACACAGATCTTGGACTAGCTACAAGATTATACTCCTATTCTTCACATGTTAGGCTCATTAGGTTTATTTAAATAAAGGTTTGTTACTTATTAAGCTTTCTCCAAATGTTCGTGAAGTAAAAAGCATGTTTGCATGTCTGTGTATGCACACAGCCATCTGCACCGTACTAAAAATAATGGGAAATGTCTATGCCCTTGTGTGTTCTAATAGTTTAACATGTGCATTAAAAGTTAATTAGTATTTAGGAGCATTATTAATGGTTGTGGCACTTAACTTGTTTATTGTGTTTTTCAACTAGTTGCCAGGGATGTCAAGTGCCAAGTAAAGGGTGCCAGGACAGTTCATTTGGTAATTGGAAAGAATAAACTAAGCTCATAAACTCAACACTCTCATTTATATAGGTGTTATTGTCAATAATGGCCTCAAGGCTATGCTGATTAATTGATTATCTTAAATTGGCTGTTGTGACGATAACTTGATGCACTCATCAGCTACTTTGTCACCATTTGAGGCACATATGTATTTTTCACTGGAATAACTTCGTTGGAAGTTATCATGTAAAAATAGTTAGACATGTGTGGGAACATAAGAAGGCTGACTTTCATTCTAGGGATAATGCATGGAGGGATTGCAGTTTATAATGGAAAACATACTATGATATGGTCTATGAGGATAGTGTGGTGATTGTTCCAATGTTCTTTAAATGTAATAGTCACGTGATATTCAGTAGACGCCTTCAAGTTCAGAAAATCTGGTATTAGTATAGCTCTGGGGACTTGTTTGATAGTATCACATCTCGGCCTTAGCTGACCTCTACATGCCTTAAAAGTTTAGAGAATCTTGTAATAGTAAATTGATACTTCCCGGGGTCTATTTGGTAGCTTTAGAATGCTCACCTAACTAATGACTTTGACGGTCAGGATCAATTTCATCATTTGGGTGCATAATACCTTGGTAGCTTAAGAGTGTATGATGGACCAGTTGACAATTGGTAATGAGTGCTAACTTTTGGGAAAGAGTAGGAATAATTCAACTCATCAGTAGCTGGTACATTGAACCTCAACTTCTTCAGATGCTTGTATGAGTGTTCTGAGGCCAAAATGCTTCAGGGAGTCCTTATGGCACAAATATTATGTAAGCGTTGAGGCGGGGTGTTGGGGGTGGCAGCCGATAGTATTTAAGATGATAAATTCGTATTAAGTAATTTTAATACTCCTCAACCCAGGTACTTATGGGAAACTTTCAAGAGAAATCCCTTGTCTATAGAGAATGAGGAATAATATGAAATATCATTTTCAATTTAGCAGTGACTCGATTGTTGGAATTTAAGCCACAGTATCCTGTACCGTACCTTTTCGTTTTCTCTTTTTTGGCTTTTGCTACTAAATTTTAAGGCCTTTTAAGGAGAAAAAACATATGAAATGATATTTTTTCAGATTTTAGATCTTTGATTTTTGACTTTGGCCTTCCCCCGCCATGTGGGATTTCTTAGTGGGGCAAATGACGAATTTGCCCCTCCTAAATAAGAAAGGAAAAAGTTCCTTCTCTCTTGCTTGTACTGTACTTTTTGAGTGCCTGCCTGTTAGACACTATTTCTGTATCTTCTTGCCAGAAAGTGAAGCTCCCATGGTGTGCTCCTCTCTTTTTTACCACCATATTTTTGTGCCTGAAATTGTAGGCTGAGAATCTGAGCTTTCTTGGGTTTCAAATCCAATTCATATTCATCAAATGGGAGCACCTCCTTAGGAACCTTAACCATAAGTTCATTCTTCCTAGCCCTAATCTAATGGGAGCTCCAATCTCAGGGTCCCAAGCTCTAATCTCATGGACCCGGGTCTCAATTCTTGGCTCAAAGACACTTATGACAGGCACCCGAACCCTAATTTCAAGCGCTTGTTCTTCTAGGGCCTTCTTCTGTTCCTGTATCAGTAATAGGATAGCAGTAAGGTATTCTATGGCTTCTAGCGGCTCCTTTTTTATGAGTTCCTAGCTTAGAGGCCCTACATAGGTAGCTTTAAAGGTCTTGTAGCTCATTTATAAAGGTATCTATGTCCCTGAGCCACGAGTGAGGCATCCGAACGAGTAAGGCTCAGACCTTTCCTCTTATGTAGCTGCAACAAGGTGACAATTCATGTTTAGGAACTGTATCTCAAGCCCTAACTTCAGGGTTTGGAGGTCTAATTTCAAGCTCCTCAAGACCCTGACTTCAGGCTTATCAGAAGCCTTAATGTCAAGCTCATTGGAGACCCTAATCTCAGTCTCACCAACTTCATCCACCTCCATCATCAAGCATCTCGGATGTATTCTGGAACTGGCTCACAGCATTAGGATACTCAATTTTCACCTCAATCTCACCTTGGACCTCCATTATTGGTTTGATTTCATTATCATGGTAAAAAATTTCATTACCAAGGTAAAAGAGGGACCAACCTTGCAAGATTTGTGGATCAAATGACGATAGCAGTGGGTTTGGGGAAAAAAAAACATGAAGGGAGAGGAAGAGGCTCTAATTCTTTTCACAGAAAGAGGGCCAAATTGGTCATTTGCCCCCATGTGAAGGGGAGAAGGCTAAAAGTTCAAAACCCAAACTTAAAATTTCCAAAATCTAGAAAAAAGCATCTGATATGTTCTTTCCTTTAAAAACCCTAAAAGTTTTTACTTCAAGAATTAAATGTTATGAACTCATGGTGGAGAGATAGATGATTGTGGTGCAGAGATAACTTTTCTCATGGACATATACTATATGAAATAATCTGTGAATTGAACTATCTATTAAAGTTCTTCTCTCCTTTTCAGGTATTCCATAACCAAGGCATTTTTGGTGGCCTTTGTCATGACCTTCTTTTCTTTCTTTGATGTTCCTGTATTCTGGCCAATTTTACTGTGTTACTGGATTGTTCTGTTTGTTCTTACGATGAAGCGCCAGATTCTACACATGATCAAATACAAGTATGTCCCATTCAGCATTGGCAAGCAGGTAAAAGGCATCAAATCATTCCATTCCATTTTCCTAATTATAAAAGAAAAGTGCTTGCTTTCAGTTCCCTATCTAATAAATGCTATAGGTTCTCAATTGGTTATGTTCTTTCACCTTCTCAATAAATACTGAAATGGCCATAAATTACTTCTTTTATTTGTCTTGCAGAAGTACACGGGGAGAAGATCGTCAGGGAGTAGCCCAAGTTCTTCAAGGGACTGATATCCTTTCATATGCTTCTTTAGTTGGAAATGGACAAGAGACCAAAGTATCAGGCTTGTACTTCTCTGATGGATATGTCTTGTTTCTGTTTGATGAAATATTTGGCCATTGCCCTTTATGTTAGGGGGTTTTATTGCTGAAGAAAACCGAAAATCATTACTTCAGAAAAATTATTAGATTGTTGGCTATATGTGCATATAATGATTCTTTTCTAGTGTCTTCTTGTTGACACTTGAGTTGTTTTTGTTTGAAGATATTTGATCCTGTGACTTGCTGCCAATGCGTAGTTTAAGATCTCTCTCTCTCTCTCTCTCTCTCTCTCTCTCTCTCGGCACAGAGTTGCGGCCTACTACCTTGGTGCCATGAGTTGTTTTTTCTAGTTTGGCATTTAATGCTTTTCAATCTGCTTTTATGATTCATTTAGTAGTAAATATTCAGGTCAAAACTTGCTTTTTAGACTCGTGTTGATGCAGCACGGTGGCTCACTAGGTTACTGATCCCTAGGTTCTAATGGGAAGTGGATCCTCGCCCCTTGAGTGCTTCGCTAATCCTGTTAGCCGGTTTAGACGAATGCACTATTTCATGCTGAGGCTACCATATTCGCTAGTTGATCACATCTTTTGAGAATATTCTGACCATGGCTAGTGCATCTCTTGTTATTTAAAAAACTTTGGGTCATGCGGTTTAGGTTCCACCTGGGATCGGTGAGTGTGCAATTCAGGTCTGTGGCCCAGGGAATTGCCTGATGGTGACCTATTTTATCTTTTAAATTTTTTTCCCAGATCTGGATGATCTGGGAGGGTTAACTGGACGGCCAATCCAATGCCTGATTTTGGCTTTTAAACACTAACTGATTTAAAATGACCTATGAAATATAAAATCCGTTAGTGCCGTTGTTATATATTTGACATGGGTTTAGCAGGGAAACGTGTGGTGACCATCCTCTTGTAACATGAGGAGCACCAGTTTGGAGCATGGTGTAATTCGCGATGCAACTTTTTTGGGTGAGTCAGTGGGGAGAGGTCATTTACCTTTGGTAGGAATTGAGCTTAGGACATAGCGTTGCAATTCGTCAAGCATTAACTAATTAAGTCGGGCTTTTTTCCCCTGTTTTTGCCCATCTTAAGCAACTAAAAGTTGCAATTATTCCTTGGACACGACCACAAATGCTTCCGGGACCTGTTAGACGAATTGGGGTTTGGTAGTGGGGTTTGTGACGTGACCAGGAATATTGTTATTAGCATCGAAAAACTTGACAATGCACATCGTTTTACCATTTATGCCTTCCTGGAGCCCTTGAGAAATTACTCTTATAGGTGTTTTTGTTCTCGAGTCTTCCGGTTTATGTATCCTACAGCTCCTTTCCAATCTTGTTTTTTCTTTGATGGTCCTCTATCACTGTCTTAGATGTTTTCTGTCTGATGTTTATACTTCATACTGAGATCTTGAGCCTTTTTAAGTCACCGTCCAATACAAATGTACGTTACGCGCACTTGACACGAATATAATATGCTATTGTATACAAAAATCGCTCCCGTCTAAATTAGACGGTTTGGAGTGTCATAAAGTTCGAAAACTTTTACTTTGAATTTTGAATCTAGCCAATTACACTTTTACAATCGCCTGATGTGAAATTTGATGGACAAGTGTTTGTGATCTCTTTATATCAAAAGTAAATAGTTTTTATATATATTAAAGAAAAGTTTATATAAGGATGCAACCTTACAATGTAGAACTACGGATGCACTTCAAAAATCTATTGGAAAAGGTAATTTTAATGTTGAAAAACCCTTTGATTGATCATCGCGATATCGAGATGTATGACCATGAAAAATAAAAAAACTTTTAAATCTTAGAAATAGTGCATTTTACAACATATTATCTACACCGTTTATTTCAATATTTTCATATGTTTATAAATCTACTTGATTTTAACCATTTTTGAAATTTAAAAATTTTATAATTAGATATAAAAATAGACTATGAGA